AGGCTTTCTACTCCCGTAAGGATTTACACCCTCGGAAACCCTGTACAGGGTCGCTATGGGTCGGAACCGACTCGATGGCACTTAACAACAACATAGCAAAAGAATATTTGGAACCTTGGATTGGCTAGTTCAAGTTATCATGCTTTTACACATAGTACTACCAGGAGTATGCAGTCGACTTCAATTGTCTTACCATTTAACTACTTTCAGAGGTACTGAAATACGCTCCAGTGATTAGAATCAGTTTTTCCCTGCACAGCCAATTCCATGGCATGGCTATCATCATCAATAATAATTCATTTCCCCAAATGCTTTTATATTATAAATATATTGCACAGTTAATTGATACACAGGTCAAAACCCATTATAACAACCAGTATGCAACCCAGAGCTATGTTTCAAATAAACACAGAGTTTTGAGTCCCAGGCAATACCTCTCTCATTTTCCTACTACAAAAGAAAGTGGACCTTTCTTAGTAATGAGTAATGACTCAAATTGAAACTGAGAATTAAAAGGAGTGCTCAGAGATGGACTTGGGCAGAGTGAGCAGAGAAGGACGTTGAAAAAAAGTGAGAGAAAACCAAAAAAAAAGGTTGTAATTTCATTTAGAATAACTTGAAAATGGCAGATACAAGGAAGTACAGCAGTTCTTCATGGGGGAACTGTTGTTGTTGTTGTTGTTAAGTGCCGTCGAGTCGGTTCCGACCCATAGCGACCCTGTACAGGGTTTCCGAGGGTGTAAATCTTTACGGGAGTAGAAAGCCTCATCTTTCTCCCGTGGAGCGGCTGGTAGTTTCGAACCGCTGACCTTAAGGTTCGCAGCCCGATTCGTAACCACTACGCTATGGTAATAATAATCATGATTCTGCACACAGTACCTTATATTTTTTGGAATATTTATATATATATACACTGTTTCATTTATGGTCACAAAAATCCCGTGAAACGTGTGGTGTATACAGTTCTATTTTATAGAGCAGGAGCCCCAGACTCAGAAAGTGTAAGTAATTTCCCCAAAGCCACACAGCTAAGCATCAGCAATGCTGAGTCGTAGACCCTTGGTCTTGACCCTTAGTCTATTAAACCACACTGCATCTCTCATTTCTGTATACCATGTTCCAGAAGAATTTGCATCAAAATGATCCAATTTCCCTTCACAGTTTCCATTTATTCTATACCTAAATGTTTTGACATACGATTTAGCATTAGGAAAACAGCCTGACTTATTTCAAGAAGGTATTTTCCTGGATCAACTCTATACCTTCCTTCTGAATCTGCCTTGGTCTACATGCATGGAAACAAGATGCTTATGGCATTGTTCTTCTAACTGTTAGATCCATTTAAGAAGAGACACAATTAAAGAAATAGAAACTAGCTGATCAGGATGGGGTCACGACTGAGTTTGACCCAATGGAATAGTTTGTGAAGCTGAAGTAGTGAGGTTGGCCCAGGATCAGGCAGTGTTTCGTTCTATTGTGCATAAGGTCACTATGGGTTGGTACCGACTCGATGGCACCTAACAACAACAATAAGAGTTTTGATGACATAATCCATGAGAAGCTGATATGATTTTGCCTAGATGATTTTCAAGTACCTATCTATACAATCCTGAATGTAAATAAAATCACCATGAAAATACGAGTCAGGCGATGTTGTAGGAGGCAGACCAGTTATTCACTTTTCCAGACAGCAGTCCTCATGTAGCTGCCACTCAGAAGAGTCTCATCAGTTTAGAACAAACAGAAAAAAAAGAATACTGAGGGACTCAGATGCATGCCCACCCCACAAGACTGCTAGTAGGCAGGAGTCAAGCAAACCTAGAATACAAAACGATGTGCTTCCAAGTCGTCTCATACTATGGGGCAGAATGACTTTATAAAAAACTATGGCTAGATTAGGCATTTTGACCGGTCATGATGGCAAGACATATCAAGGTCACTGCTCAAAATATACAATCTGCTCCAGGAGTGGCACAGCAGGATCAGGACTGGACTGCAAACCACAAGGTCAGCAGTTCAAATTCACCAGCTGCTCCTTGGAAACCTGATACAGGGGTGCTATCGGAACCAACTTGATGACACTTAACAACAACAACAATGTATATCAGCAAATGAACTGGCCAAAGTGTGTTTATTATCGACCACTGCAATTCTTAAGAGAAAGTCACAACATTGCTTGTGCAAGATTTGTTGCTTGGTGCAAAGATTTAATGTTTTTCTATTCATTATCTTTTTTTGAAGTCTTAGATGCACAAAGGGTATGCAAACACTGTACTTTTCCTCTTAGAGATACGTTACGTGACTGTTTTCCATAATTATTCTTGTCACCTCTAACACTAGTTGTTTTGATAGAGGGGAGGAAAAAATAGCTTTTCAACAGACTTTCTTTTGTATTTATTCAGGTAACCCAGTGAATAATGGATGAAATATCCAGAGAATTTAAGAAAAACACACACTTACAGCTTTAGCATTAAAAAAATTCTCTCTGATTTCAAATGTGTAATTGTGTGTTCCAAAAGTATATTAGCACTGCAGATGTTTACAGAAATCTTTATACATATATATATATTTAAGTAGTTTGTAAAACATACCTTGGCTATAGTTCTATAGTTGCATTTTTCAGTTCTATCCTTTCCTTTCCTTTATAATTTTTCCTTCCCTATCTGTAGCTCAGATTCCTAGCATCTGGCAGGATAAAACTATGCACAGTTCACAAGCAGAAATTCATACACAAAATGCAAAAATAAGGGGGAAAAGCATTACTTTCAGTTCTATTGTGAAATTTTCCATCAACCTAAATTGAGTTCTAAACTGACATCAAAATGTATATTTTGGTGGATGAACATGATAATTTTCTGGTTGTTACGGTGCTCTCAGGGAAGATTGGTAGTAATTGGCTTATTTGCTTAAGCAAAATGCTATTTTACAAAAAGAGCCTTCTGGCTAAGAAACAAACTGTTGGAATAAATGCTTTTGACCAGGATTATGCATGTTTTGCTGTGATTGTTTTATTTTACAATTGTTTCAGGGTTTAAGAACGGAGCATCAGTTATCACTATAAGTTTTAGAGCTCTCCACAAGGACTGATAACACAACCTGTGGGCATGTTGTGTTGTTGTTATGAAGTGCGGTCTAGTCGATTCTGATCCACAGTGACCCAGTATAGAGTTTCCGAGGAGCGGCTGGTGAGCTTGAACTATCCATGTTCAAACAGACCTTGCAGTCCAGTGCATTATGACCCACAGCATCACACCAGGACTCCTGTAGGCATATATGACATGCTTAGTTCATTGTCTTCTCATATTAATTAAAAAGTTGTTTTCTATCTGAAGTTTACATTTAGAGTTTTGGAAATGTTTATACACACTGTATAAAATTCCACATTAGCTTATAAGCTCATGGATAGGTTAAAGACTTTAAAATTCTACTTTCTTGTGCTTATATAGTTTTTGCATATTGCTTTTTTTTTTTTTTTTTCTCAATTCTTAGTATTGCAGTAGCCAACCTGAAGAAATGCCTCAGAATACCAGTAGCAGAGAAGACTTCAATCAAACTCAGACATCAAGAGGGCTAATCAACGGAGCAGACGATCTCATTGAGACGGTGGGGATTTGACTGCCTCTCTATAAAATAATCTAGCAAGCTGTGAACTGGCCAATCCACCCTTTCCTAAACACATTTGCCATGTATTCATTTAGTGAAGGGATGAATAAAATAATTGCATTCTGTACATCAGTAAGCATATTTGACATGAAAAACTTGAATGCATATTACTTCTTATATATATTATGTCTATACCATGGAATCCCTCCATTGCGCAAGTGGCTAACATGTTTTGTTGTTGTTGTTGTTAAGTGCTGTCAATTTGGTTCCGACCCATAGTGACCCTGTTTCCAAGGAACGACTGTTGTGCTTGAACCATTGACCTTGGGGTTCAAACTGACTTTGCAGTGTACCGCATTAGCCCACAGTGCCACACCAGGACAAAAACATGTTCTACTGCTTACCAAAGGCTGGAGGTTCAAGTCCACACCCAGTGATATCTTAGAAGAAAGGCTCAATGATCTACTTCTAAAAATTCAACCACTGAAAACCCGGGAGAGCACATTTGTATGCTGACACCTAGGCCACCATGAGTCAGAGTTGATGCAAAAGCAATTTTAAAACATGTACCCTATATAACCCATATTCAGTCATATGATTAGCAGATAGATTTAGCCTGTAGCATTAAAAAGCCTATGGACACGTATAGCAGACACACTGTGCACAAAGAGATACATACGTTTATGAAAGAGTGATCTCACCAAAAGACTGAGAGCTGTCCTATTTATTCGTCAAGTGTCTAATTAATAAAACAGGGAAGAATGCAAGCCAAACTAGAATCACTTCCTTTTTCTGCACATGCCTGATATTTGACATTCTGACCACGGCCCTATTAGAAAATGGTATAAAGGAGACACTCGAGGTCAAAGCTCCTACCACTAAGACATATTTTCCAAAACTAAAGACTATTGATTTTGTGGAGTTTAATAGAGCACTTAAATATGCAGAATACAAATAACAAATTTGTAGTTGGTGTCTTTTACATTTAGGTGATAGATTTTTTTCCCCTAATTGATAAAGTTTTAAAGCAATTTAAAAAAAAGTTATGCCTTAATAAAAATATTCCCAGATTAGTAAACACTGATTTGAAATCAGTAAAAAAAAAAAAAAAAAAGATAATTTTTTTATTTTAATATGTTATTGTTAAGTGTCATCGAGTCAGTTCTGACTCACAGTGACCCTGTATAGGGTTTCCAACGTGAGTTTGAACCACCGACCTTGAGGTTCAAACGGATCTTGTGATCTAGTTACTTTAACATGGAATAGCTAAAATTTGGCTATGTATTAGAGTATATTACAGAGTAGGATAAAATTAAAAATTATTTTTAAAATACTTGGATATATGATGTAAAATTGGTTCTTTAAATATGGTATCATACCATCTCAGTAGTAAATATAAGCCTTAAGTTACTTCTGAGGGCTGCATTAGCTTCTTTATCAATGTTCAATTTTGCTTTTTTTTCCCTAATAAGTGAAGACTAACAACTGAAAATGCCATTCCACAAAAACAAACTGTTTATTGAACGTCATGATGGAGAAGGTATCTCTCTCTGAGTGAATTGCTCATAATCTTTCTGAATGTATGACATTTCTGTTAAACAGGCCAAAGTTTTTGTAAATAACTTATCTACAGTGTGTGAAAAAGTTTGGACTTTGGGACTCCATCAGACTTTCCTGTTAATGCTAATAATTGGAAGATGGCTTCTACCCATTGGAGGTGGAATCACCCGTGACCAACTCTCTCAACTTCTCCTTATGTTTGTGGGAACAGCTGCTGACATACTGGAATTCACGAGCGAGACATTGGAAGTAAAAAATGTGAGGTAAGCACACACTTCAGGGAGATAGTTTTGCTAATGCCAGCTCTACAGTACCTGCCTCTTGATGTTTTCATTTCTGCATGAATAAGAACTGTCCATATTGTATGTCCAATAGGCACCTTGGTGACATAGTGGGTTATGCTTTGACTTGCTAACCTCAAGGTCAACTGTTCAAACCCTCTACAGGAGAAATAGGAAGCTTTCTGCTCAGTAAAGATTTACAGTCTCAGAAACCTACAGGTCACTATGTCCAATGGTAGAATAGTAGAGATCATACAATTTGCTACTTTTTAGGTATTTATTAAGCACTAGCCCAATTTATGGAGTCCTGGTGTGGCACTGTGGGTTAATACTCCAGACTGTAAAGCCATTTAAACTGCAAGGTCGGCAGTTCAAGCTCATCAGCTGCTCCTTGGAAACCCTATACAGGGTCGCTATGTACAGGGTTGGAACCGACTCAACAGCACTACACGACAACAGCAACAACAAGAAGCCGAATTTGTATACTATTTGTTAAACACATAAAGGAAGCCCTTGGTGGCACAGTGATTAAGTGCTTGGCTGCTAACTGAAAGATAGCTGTTTGAGCCCACTAGCCACTTAACAGGGGAAAGATGTGGCGTTCAGCTTCCTAAAATATTGTTATTATTAAGTGCCATTGAGTCAGTTCTGACCAATAATGACCCTGTATAGGGTTTCCGAGGAGCAGCTGGTGAGCTTGAATCACCAACTTTGTGGTTCAAGCCAACTTTGCAGTTCTGCACATTAACCCACAGTGCCACACCAGGCCTCCTTAAATATTATGGCCTTGGAAAGCCTAAGGGGCTATGATTTGGAGTCAAAAGGATGGCAAAGAGTTAGTTGAGTTTTTGTTTGCTTTTGTTATAGAAAAGGGCATTTAATTTTCTGAATTACTGTGAACAAAAACCAGTCTCTGCATGTACGCCTGAGCATAGGCCCCACCAGGAAGCCCTGAAGCCACTCTCAGGGTGCCATGGCTATCCCAAGCTCCTCTCACTTTCTGCAGTGTCCTAGAACCAATCTAATCTTACGATTCTATTGTAGAGCAGCCAGAGCCCCAATTCCAAGAGAGACCCTAGAAGAGACATGAAGAAATCTCTCCACTGTCCTGTTCGGAAAGTTAGATTCCCTGGTGTTGATAGAGAAGAGGAAAGATTAGACCTTATTTTCCCAATTTTTATTTTTAGTCAGGTTTGTTCGAAGTGCCCAAAGGCTTTCTGGTGTAGATGCCTATAAATTAAAACTTATTGAGTTGGTATTTTTATTTTTGCCACAAGCAAATAAATTCTGAATCCATGATCACATCTGTTTATGGAACTACTTTCTTACCATTAGGGATTTAAGTCTCGGTGCCTGAATGTACTTTCAGCTCGGGTTGTTTTGCACTATGCTATAAAAATAAATTGGAGTGAGGCTGGCTTGTAATGCTACAGTTTACTTTATGCTGTGTTTTTCAAACAATGAAACATAAAGCTGAGCAAAATACACTAACTTACTGAGTAAACTTAATATTCCAGTTATAGCCCAAACTATATTTATAACTATGATTTACCTTTGTAAGATCATTTCCTGTTTCATTTATACTAAAATTTCCTACAGCTTATTAAGTACATATTTTCTTTTTAAAGTTATTCCAACCACAATTGACCCTATGTCCTCAAAATAGTGATTTTTGAGGTTTTAATTCCTTACAATTAGTCACTACTTTATATTGTATAATGTATTTTGAAATACTGTAGGATGCTTATAGCTTATAATACAGTGAGGCTATAAGAAGCAATTCAAGAAATCGTGACAGAACACATAAAAACAAGCCCCTTGTTAATGTCATGGCACTATAAATATAAATTAGTATGTTGTTGTTATTAAGTGCCACCAAATCGTTTCCGACTCACAGCAACCCTGTATATGGTTTCCAAGGAGTGGCTGGTGAGGTTGAACCAATGACTTTACAGTTCAAATCGATCCTGCAGTACAGCACGTTACCCCTCAGCGCCACACCAGATTCTATAAAAATCAACACATGCTAACTCTCTTAGGGAAATGGGTCTTCAGGGATAGATGGTTTGATGGGCCACTCTTCAGTCTTATATATCACAAAAACATGGGCAATGTCAAATTTGGGTATTTTAATGGCCTGTTTAGTAGGCCTATCCAAAAGTGACACTAAGGGGCAGTTTATAGATTAGTGTTTGCCAACAAATGTTGATTATTAAGCATGTTACTGAACAAAATCTTAATTGCTGGGGGGAAAAAAAACCTTGAAAATTGTAAGACATCCATTCATTCACCCACTATTGTTTGATTATGTAATACATGCCAAGAATTATGATAGAGACTGGGGAGCAAGGAATAAACAAAAGGACACATAGTCCCTTCCAAATCTAGGCTATTTCTAATCAAGAGGAAATTTTAAATCACTTGCAATTTTTAGCCATCTCAAATACTTCTAATTTTGGCTGTGTCATCTCCTATGAATTAATCTAAATGCTTCATGAATCTTTTTTCTTTTTTGATAGTTCAAGCTTATACTATATTCCGAGGTGCTGATTTTAATGGAACCAAATAAACATTGTCCTGGTTTATGTTTTTAATTGTTCTTTTCAGTGTTCATTGTGTCAGATTGAAGTCATTGTATTTTTAATGTACCTGTATGTGTCAGTGACTTTCTGTCATCTGTCATCTGCTCTTGCATGTATCTACTACTCAGAGACTCTTCAAAATCAAGACCCATAAAGAATCTAGAAATTTTCTCTCTCCTAAAAATCACCTTCCAAGTTTTGATTTCCTATCTCAGGTTCTACCTATTCTGCAAGACATGGTATTGCAAATATCCATATCATCAAAGGAGACACGAAAACCTACCTACAGGCACGCTGCCCTCCTTTAGGCCCCCAAAATATAATTATGAAGAATAAATAATTTACATGAAAAAGATATTTATATTTAATAGCAGAGGAAAGCACTTCATCATAACTTATTTAACATTGCACATGTGATCAGGATGACCTAATCCCTGGAGAAGGACATCATGGTTGATAAAGTGGAGGGTCAGTCCAAAAAAGGAAAACCCCTAACTGACAGAGTGGCAGCAGCAGTGAACTTAAACAAAATCATTATGAGATGGTGCAGGATCAGGTAGTGGTTCTGTTGTGCACAGGTGAGCTGTGTGTTGGAATCCATTTGATGGCACCTAACAACAACAACAACAAAATATGGAATAAAATAAAATAGAAAATAAATGTCATAATGATTGTTGTTGTTGTTGTAAAATGCCATCAGATTGGTTCCGACACATAGCAACCCTGTATAGGGTTTCTGAGGAGCAGGTGGTGAGCTTGAACCGCCAACCTTGCAGTTCAAACGGCTTTGCAGTCTGATACATTAACCCACAGCGCCACACCTGATAGATTTAGGGAAAAACCTGCAATGATGTCTATATCACAATGTTTACATCTTTTTTCTATATCCTGCTTATACCCCAAATCCAGTTTTGTTTATTTTTCAACTCTAATCAGTTTACTCCCATTTAACATTGAAGTTCATTTGCCTGATTTCATGCATTTGCATAGGCTTATGAACCTGCATTTTTCATAACTCGAGTTAAACACTGTTTACCAATTTAATTCTACAGTTCAAGGATACTTAGTAGATTTAGAGCTTTGTACAACCATTTCCAACCTTCAGGTTTAGAACTTCACCAAATCCAAAAATCAAACCCACTGCCCTGGAGTTGATCGTTACTTATAGCAACTGTAGGTAGGGTTTCTGAGACTACATTTTTACAGGAGCAAACCGCCTTAGAGCACTCCAATCATCCCCAGAAGATTCCCTGTGGCTGTTTACACTCAGTCATCAGGGCCACTGCCAGCCTTAAACAAACACTGATCTACTTCCTGTCTACATAGATTTTCCTTTTCCTGGTGTGGTGCTGCGGAATAATGAGTTGGACCACAAAATCGAATTAAACCTCAAGGTCAGCGGTTCAAACTCAGCAGTTGTTCCTCAGAAACCGTAAGCAGAGTCTCTATGAGTCAGAATCGACTCAGCAGCACTTAACAACACAGGACATTTCATATGTGAATCTATTTCATGTCTGGTTTCTTTCACTTAGCATAATGTTTTAGAGGTTCATCCATATTATTCCATGTATCAGTAGTTAGCTCTCTTAACATGATTAATTAGTATTCCACCTAATACATATGTTACATTTTGTTTATCACTCAGTAGTTGGTTAGCATTTGTATTGCTTTTTTGTATGTACTGCTACTATGGGCACCACATGGAGCCCTGGTGGGCTGTACGGTAAGCACTGGACTGCTAGCCACAAGGTCAGCAATTCAAACCCACTGGTTGCTCTGCAGGAAAAAAATGAAGGTATGTGCTCCCGTAAAGATTTACAGCCTTGGAAACCACGTAGAGTCCCTAGGAGTCAAAATCCACTTGATGTCAGTGGGTTTGTGTTTTGGGTGACTGATCGTAAGGTTGGCAGTTGGAACCCACCCAGAGGTGCTTTGGAAGATGAGCCTATTTGGCAATATGCTTCCAAAAGGTCACAGCTTTGAAAATCCTCTGGAGCAGTTGTACTCTGTACACATGGGGTCCCCACAAAACAGAAATGAGCAGATGGCAACTAACAACACTAAGTTACTAACTGAGCATCAGAAGATATGTATACGAACTATTCATGTATTTTCTTAGATAAAGTGTCTGTTCAATTTGCTGCCCATTTTTGGGGGGTGGGTGCCTTATTACTGAGCTATAGGAGTTTTTCTTTTTTAATATTCTGGGGTGCTGTTGTGGCGGTTAAGTGTTGTCAAGTTGGTTCCGACTTACAGTGACCCTGTGTAGAAACATTTTCTTTCAGAATATGGCTTGATTTTTACTATTATGATATTGAATGTAGTCTCTTGTATCAATGTTTAAAAATATACTGTTCTTTTGTTATCATAGCTAACAAATATTTTCCTAACTCAAAATTC